TTTAATGCACGCATTTCTGTAGGTCAGTATTTCACACTTCACACCACTTTACCTTTTTTGCTATGCTTATTATTGTAGGTACTTTTGTGCTTGTTTTTTTTTTCATTTTGAGGTGTTAACTTTTATCTTACTTTTACCATAAGTTAGATACTTGAAAAAATGTTTGAAAATGATAATGTGGACAACTGTAATTGGCGCTAACTAGCTTTATCTAAAAATATTCAATGTAAATCGTTATTAATAGTGGTTGTTGTTCCAAATGAAGTAAAATAAAATAAAAAAGAGTTCGTCCAGGGAAGTACTTGGCAGTACTTACCTTACCTTATCTATTTCTACCGACAAGCAGTAATGTCAGCATTACAGAGTTATGATTTTGAAGGGTAAGATTGCTGGTGAAATTGCAGGCACATGGAACTTGTCAACTTATGCCTCGGGGTGACGGGCGCAGTGGCAGTGCATTTAAAGCTCTTAGTAGCACTGCAACTGCTATGGACAGGCGTGTAGCTTACCATCAGGCGCATGAGTTGTTCGTTCCGTCACTTAATATTGTAAAAAAGATACAAATTTCATACAAATATAATTGAGAGAGAGAAATTACATGTAATTCTATACTACTCTTCGAAAAGTGATCGTCAGTTTACAAATAATTACGTAATAGTAAGTCATAGTACACAATAGTGTACATACAAATCAAGATAATTGATGAAACTAATAAATAATTGAATTAAACTGACAATGTCAGGTATATACTGTATACAGTGTAAGTATGTCTTTAACAAAATCTAAAACAAACGCCACTAATGTGTAAACCTATTAATTGTAATGAGAATCGAAAATATCTTAGAACCAGATCAATAACAGTATTTTTGCTCCTCGTAAATTAAATAAGTTTATATTACGAAATGTATTAGGAAACGAAATTACTGGTACAGCTCTACTAATACGCAATTTATTCGCGAAACTTCCTCCAAATTGTCGAAAATTTTCAATGGCATTTTTGTATTTTATCGATATTATCGATTTTATTTTTTCAGCGGTTTAGGATCACAATGAGAAGTTACAACATCTTCAAATAGCCACTTCTACAAATGACCACTTTTTTATATGGCTACTTCTTACTACTCTATATGTTTCGTTCGGCTTCGGATTAGGAACATTACCACAAGTTTGACGATGACCTTCAAGTACATTAGATATTGCTTATTATCGCCCTGGAGGGCAACGTCCCGTTGTTCATTGCAACTGAATTTCGCAACCATTTGACAAAAACAGGCAAATGAAACATTTTAAACATTTCATTTTTAGTTTATATAAATTTCTGGGCATGGTCCTAAATTAGCGAAATGGTTTAAAAATAGTAAAAAAACAATTTATAATTAAAAAATAAAATGGTCAGTTCAAGAAATGGTCATCTCAAGAAGTGGCCAATTCAAGAAGTGGTCAATTCAAGAAATGGCTAATTCAAGAAATGATCAACTTTGTGCAATGAGTAGCTGTGTAGTCCTTTATCGTAAGGTTATAGACAAAATATTTGAAGTATATCAAACACTTTTAGGTACTTTTTCCATCCTATAATATAGGTACATAACATATCTCTCGTTGTTAGTTTATGATATTTGTACAATATATTGTTAAAGCAGCGAGTTGGAAACATACTGCCACTTCTTCTCTCTGCCAATTGCTTTGACACCTAATTCGTGGAAACTCACGCCAGCAATTAATAAATGTTAGAACAAGCATCATAATATTATTTTGACTGTTATATCTATAAACTTATAATAGATAAAGAATGTAAAATGTAAACAAAAATTTGTGCAGCCTGAAAAGTAACAATCTTACTTTTCAGGCAAATTTTTGTTTACATCTATCTATATTATGTACATGCATTATGTAAGTAGTCGAAAAGGTAAGACAGAAAACGCGCAAACCATTGAAATAGCTTGGTTTATCATGATTGGCAAACTTCTGATCTAGGCCATCTACGTAGTAAATGTAAAATCGATTGCTAAGGAACGTAAGCTCACGTTTGCACACCTTTAACGAGTTTGCTTTACGTACTCTTTGCCTAAATACAATGTCCAACTTGAGCTATCAGAGCATCACTTTGATTGGCTATTTTGTTTGTTTTTGCTTTTCAAGCCTTAGGGATCTTTTAAATTGTTTACATAAGTTGATAGCATGAAATTTCAAGAGTACACGCACGCTCGCGCTTACACTCTCTTTCTCTCTCTCTCTCTCTTTCTCTCTCTCTCATACACACACAGTCACACACGAAAGACACAAAGACACACACACACACACACACACACACACACACACACACACACACACA